TCACTTGAGATAAAGCAAATATTTTTTTTACTAAAACAAAATAATGTATTGTAAATCGGACGCCATGAAAAAAGTACAGATGTGCTCGAGTTCGGACGTCTCCGTCAAATAAAGTAATTTCCTGTATTTTTAACTTCACTGATTACAAAATTTTGTTTATGCATGTCGTATTATAAGAAAACCATGAAAAAAGCAAGAAATATTCCGAATAGTTAATTTTCGGAACCGCAAAATTTGATATTATTTACACGAAAATCAGCTAAAGATAGATATGAGAATTTCCAAAGTTTTACGGAAACAACACGCAAGTAAGGCTTTAATAAATGAGTCTTTGCAAATTCGTGACGCTTTTGGATGCAGCACGTTTAAAAATATGTTGTTTAAACACACTTTGTGCGTTCATAATGCCCGAGCACTTATTGCTTTCTTTGAGTGCATACAGAACTTGGCAGACGTAGAGCTGTTACGCGAGTCGCTAGCTATCCATTTTAATATTCGCTATATTCCACCCTAGAAATTTATTAACAACAGCACCTAGCATTAAGCACAGGCGATATAAACGGTCCCTACCCAAGCAGTATGACGCTTTTGTGCGTCCTTTTCAGTAAATTACCGTTTTATTCTTTCTAAATTTATTTAACGGAAGCATTTGTCTACGTTCCCTACGTAGAATTAGAAAATGGCCACAATTTGAAAAATGATATGAACCACGGTGTCTTTTGTGATGATGTTTTATTTTTAGACAAGCCTACAAATTATGTACACATGCTAACAAGTGGTGAGAGCTCCTACGAAAACACACTGTAAAAAATCGATGTCATAATTGTGCTCTTGTGCCCCATTCACCTGAGGCATGCTTCTAAATTTGGCTTGCGACTTTAATTAAATTTATTCGCCTGCAACCAGCCTCTGTCAGCGGGCCGCAAACCATTTTCTTTTTGTAAGTAGCCCGAAATGGATGCTAGAGAAACGCTTTTCACACTAGTCAGAATCATCTCGGACAAACACAAAAATCACTGGATTTTATGGTCGATAGCCACATTCGCCCATTTACCATAGACAAATCGGTTTTTATGTCAGCCTTTACAAGAGCTATTTTACAGCCAATACTGCAATCAGCAGTGTTAGAAAATCATATTTTAAGGGTTTTTTTATAACTGATTAATTTGCTTTGCTAGTGTTGGACACATGAGGCCCTAAATAAACTCCCGTCATAAAGCCTCCTTTGCATTTTGATGATTTTTTTTTAAATTATAGGGTCAGGCAGATTTGTGCAGTTTCTACCGCGATTGCTTCTCGCTCACCCGCGGCGAGATCCTAAGAGATACACTGAAGCAGACCATCTACGCGTACCCCACACGTTAGGATCTCCAGGCTGTTCTTAAGGGGGCTCGGATACCAGGCATGTGAAAGGGTTACATAGGCTACACTGAGAAGAAGCTATACAAAGTCCAACTCTCTATTTGGTGAAAAACTGAGTTAGTCCGTCAGGTGACATTACTCAGTGCAACTCGCCAAAATAGATTCAAGTAGATGTATTAAGGTGGGGGAGGCTGCTGATTTGATCAGAGAATTGGTGTGGTTGTCCAGGGTCGGCATCGTTGCACAATAATAGCTTTTCGTCTCTACCGATGATGTCTGTCGGGCGCTCCCATTGTGAGCAGGCTCAGAGACAGTGAATTACGCTTAAATGAATTAAAAAGGATAATAGTTTTGCGCTGCATCTATCAAACATTCGCTTTCTTCACGCATATGGAGCACATGTGAAGAGTGGGTCAAAGAGACTTGCAGTGGGAGAGAGCGCAGGTGGCTGGCGCGACGCTTGCCCGCACCTAAGCATGCAACCTGCTCCTAGTTGGTTAACGCACTAAGAAATATGATTCAATTCAACAGGATATGTTGGTGGCTCGGGTCTTACTAACGGCGAGCGCACTATAGGCTTGTTCCCGGTTCGCGCAGTCGGCTACATTCTAAGTAACGCGCTCGTCGCAGGAAATATCATAACCACAGAGAGTGTAAGGTTGTTCTAACAGCAGTCATTTCCAGACCCAGCCATTTTACTAATTTCTGTTGGACGTCCAATTTTCACAGAAATGAAGCGTAGGTGTTCTACAGAATTTGCATGACTAAAAAGGGTCTAAAACCGTCATGTTTGCGTACCTACGTCTTGAAACTGTTAAAATGTTCCGTAACGAACTCGAACATCAAGCTAGTTTTGGATGTAACTCACCTTTGTTGATGAAACTTTGCCGATCACCATCGTAATTCGCTCGTACTACCATATACCATTTTCTACAAGATATTTCATTCGGGTGAGATTGTCAGCTTCCCAGATAGCATCTTCGTGGCCACCTTCGAAACTTCAGTCCTTGAAAAATGAACATTTCGCTGATATACATTTACACGACTGATTTGCGACGACCTAATATATTCAAGTATATTTGATAGAAAACATGCACAAAAATTTAATTTAATTTAAATTAATTTGATCCACTTATGAAAAACTCGACAGCCTCCGTGTGCTTTAAAAGCAAGAATTTGAAATCGAAATGCACCATGCTTCATTAACAAATATCGCGAAAATTTTTGTACGCGGACGTAAGTATTTTTTCAGCTATTGACTTTGCAGATAACGCAAGTTCCTACCAACTGCATATAGCAAACCCTATTTGTATGAAAATTTTTAAATAAAAAAATATTTCAATTGACAAAACCATTGACACTCACAGGGCAGGATCCAGATAAACTTAAATGTCATTTTTTACAGAGATTTGTTTCAAATGCGGCCGGAAAGACGCATAATCAAAAGCAGGTGTGAGTGAATTATCTTAATATGATCTACTTCTTTGCAAAATTTTCAGAAAAATAGCCTGTCAAGTAGCGTCTTTCAAAATAATAAACGAATGAACAAAACTAGCTTTTAATTTTCAACACAAGTAAAATTACCTTATGCTGACTGCAGAAGGCCCTCACGCACATTGAAAGCTGATGGCATGCCTGCTTCTTGCACTCCACTGTCTTCTCAAAACCTGACAGAGAGTATCAACAAAAATCAGACATGAATGAGCTGTTTTTGGCGCAAGAATTCGGCTGCAATCGCAACCGGCACTAACATCCCTGTTTACACAACCTTACCAGTCGTGCCATGCTCTTCCTGAAGGGCTTA